AGATTTTTAATATTTTATATACCAGGAAACTTAAGTTCAGAAATATTTAGCGATGTTTCAGCAAGCTGAGAAGATGGGAGAAAATTCTAAACTTTCCAGATGAGCACTCTCCACATGACACTGCTTCCATCACAGGGAAGTATCCACAGACTGACTTATAAATACAAAACACTGCAGTCTTTACTAACATAAAGTGATACATCAAATTTGAAGCAGAGATTTGGAGAGCAATTTTCATAGGTTATGAAAACTTTTGGGGCATAGGGGAGGTTCTGATACTTTTTATATTTTCCAATGGAGTCATTTTTTTCCTTCCTATTTTAGCATTTCTATTGTGGTTCTGCCTGTGGAGAATATTTAGGATTTTCTCCAAATGGTGGGAAACTTTGCCCATTTTAATGATCTGATCTGATAAAGCTTTCTACTGGAAAGTCCCCATCTGGCTCAAACCTCAGCTTCTGCATTTTCTGGGGATGTGACTTCTTTACAAATGTATTAGAATTACCTTTCACAAAGCAGGGAAATATTGCTAACCTACACAATCACAGTGAGATGAGAGATATGGAATGGTATATGTATAAATTTTCATAGTTCATTTTTATTACTTTCACTATGCAATTCCATTTAACATTTTCTGAAATAGCAATAAATTTTTGAATGGCAAAAACATATGGCATTTTGAGTATGCCAAGTGAGAGATATTACTTAGATAGTGAATATTTGCAAAAATTTGTAGCTTTATATTACCACGAGGCTCTCTGTTTAATGAGAAAAAACATTTATCCCTTTACAAATCCAAGGGTTATAAATACATACTATGATATGTTTATATCTATAAACACAGATAATTTGTGTTTGTCACAAGCAATGTATTTGCAAATAAAACATTATATAAATAATGCTGTGTCATATGCAACTCCTCTTTTATATGTAAGAGGTGGATTTCTTATAGCAACAGAAAAACAAATCTCTACGTGGTGATTCATATATCTTTAGGTTCTTTGATGTTAAGTATACATATACACACATAATACTACATGTCACTCTAAGATTTAGAGAACCATCTAAATTATTTTTAATATTGTATGAAAATGAGATTTTGGCCCTTATTTCTGTCTATATATACTCATTAGTATTTATGCTTTCACTAGAAACTTCCTATAGTGACATATAGTCTTTGGCATCTTACTAACACATGAACATTTTTACTTGTTTTCTTATCCCTACAATGAATGCGCTACCCTTTTGGACTCCTTCCAGCTCTGGGATGAAACATAGCAGATGACTATGCTAAGAGTTCTTTGTTATGGAATATCATTGTCGTTTTTAATCCACAACCACAATACAGCAAGACAGTTATCTCCTCCACTGTTTCTATGATGAAAGTGAGTTCAGGAGACTAACGATTGTGCTTTGTATCTAAAAGATGCCAAAGATGTCATCAAACCTAAGGGTTTGACTTAAGGCCTACATTCTATTTCTACACTTTTGGTTGTCAAATATTTCTGTAAAAAATAAATCTGTAAAATGATATGCTAGGGAATTTCAATTTTAAAAAAGATAAAGTACCATTCATTAGTAATATATAGTTTTAGGAATCTAAAATGAAAAAAATTTACTTATAAGGTTAATAAATAATGAGATAATTTTTGATATATATGAAAATTATAAATGAAAAGTTTTGGTAAAAGTTTCAACCTTTTAATAACATCTACTTCTCATTTATTGGTATATTCTACTGTATTCACAAGGACAAGAAATCCTTATTTATGAAGATAAATCATTGTATATGGAAACAGGTGCTCTTTTAAGTATACCTCATAGTCTCAAGATGCCCATCAATTAAAATAATTCAGAATCATATTTGTCTCTATGGTGACCTTTTATAGTATAGTATTACATAACATCATGATGACACTGCACACATGTTTTTGGTCTAAGAGCACAATTGGGACAGTCAACCAGTCTTGACTCCAGATTAGTTAAGTTGTGAGAAAAAAAAAGAACTCGGTATATAACAATGAAAAATTTAATTCTGTCACAGAATTTCAAAGAGGAAACATGATTTGGCACAATTGACTAACAAGAGCCTTCAATATATGTTTATTATATAACTCAACATGTCAATATACTTTTGCTGTCGTTGCAGATGATTTATTATATAGGCTGGTATTGGATTGCCACTAGGAATAAATGGAGACATTTTCAAATGTGTATTTTGAGCTCACTAAGCTAGGCTTTATTTTATCCTATATCAAGTGTTTTCATTATGTAGCTGTGTTCTAATTCCCTTCTAAACTGTACCCTTGGAAGTGGGTCCATAGGAATGTATGCAGAACTATACAGCTTTACAGTTACAAATTCCATTGTGGTCTGAGAAGATGCATGGCATGATTTTGTGAGTAGAGCCATTGATGTTAGAGTAGAGGCTATGATTACAAAAGAATGAGGCCCCAAGAGGGCTAGACACAGTCTAAAACAAAGGACAGAATCATTACTAGAGGACCTAAAAAAGGTGCTGTCTAAGCCACGAGTAAGATTTCCAATTAAAAGGCCAACAGAAACTAACAGAAGGGGCCTGATAATAACCTGGTGAGCTTTAAGGCCTTACTGGTTATGAGGCCCAGATCTATCTCCACCTGGAGTACATCCTAAGGTAGGCGTGAACCTCCTTGGGAAGGCACCCTCGTGACTTCCATTACCTAGCTGGCCTGGAAGGAGAGCTGAAATATCTTTTCCTGAACAAAGTTCCAAATAGATCCAGAATCCCTATCTTACTTCAGTTTTGGTTTGCACCTGACTTGCATTCTTCTTAACTCTCTTGAAACGAGAACCAAGTTTCTGGTACTTCCCTTTCTGATTTTCATTTCTCTATGCATGCGCTCATTAGACCTTGTGTTTGCTCTCCCCAGCTTCCTCAACTTTTAATACATCTCAACCTTTTAAAATGAAGAGTCATTGAGGACTTCCGCACAGAAGCACAGATTTCTCATTATTCAATGAGAAAAGCTTTATGACAGTAATTTCTTAATCACGCAGAATTAAAATTAATTATGGTATGTTCCTTGAAAAATTGGTCAAAGCAATGGGAAGGTCAGGTTGAATCTATACGCCCTCAGACTAATAAAGTGTTTTCATTAACAAGGTCCCTAGTTTATATTCTTTCACTTTTATGTTTCTCATTATTTCTACTCTTAATTTTCTACTTTTCTTAATATTCATGTATTATCAGGAATATAGCCACTATGAAGAAAAACATATGTTTGTTGTGCTAAGGATTTCATTGACAGGCATGACAGAGAGAGATGCTGATATTTGTTTAAGATCAAGTTGATCAGACTGTACAAAGAACTTTTGGGGTGGATAGCAAGGGCAGTAAACAGCAAGGGAGATATATTTCATAATGAAAATCAGATATATAACTATTACTAGTTGCACAGTATTTCCAAACACCATTTAACTTCTATTATTAGGGAGGACAGGCAAAAGTTCTAGAAGTTCAGAGTTCAAATTTAAAGATATGAAAAAATGAATGCTAACTCATGATAATAAGACAGGATTCAAGAAGGCAAAATGTTCACAAAAGCCAAGTAAAAGTCCTTTAAAACTATGATATCACTATGTAGATTTTTATATGTCAGAAACTCTAAATTGAAATAGTAATAAGTTTTTACAGCTCAAAATTGAACTCTCATAGTTGGGTCTTTATTATGCAATGGTTTTTAAAAAATATTTCTGGCAGGCTACACATACCTTAATGTCAACAATATTACTGAATACAGTTTTAAAAGAGGTCGTTGTTTTGACTGTGCTTCATATGAATAATGGATCTGGAATGGTAATATGACTTGACTCTTGTTAAGAAAACAAACCACTTTAAAATTTCAGACATACACATGTACTTCAAAAAGTTCAAGGGAATGGAATTAAAAGATAAGCTTGTTTGTTGTAAAAAAAAGTTTTGAAATCCATGCATAGTTTTTTTTTCCAAAACATGCATTTTCCATGAATTTTTTAAGATCCCTCATGTGATGGCAATATCAGGAAAACCAGTCTCAAGAAACCTACAATTATCTTATGTTTCTAGAATTACTTCTGGTATATTTATACTGTCAGGGCTACAGAATGAATATGGACTTTTTTAAAAAAAATAATTTTCTTCATGAATAGTCTTTATTTCAACATCTAAAATTGAAGTTTTTTCCATCTCCACAAATTTGACCTAGCATAAGTAAGTCAAAGAGTTTTAAAATTCTCAAAACTTAAAAGTTTAAAATATGTATCACACTAAAAGATACTATTCAACAATGGATATACAATATTTATTGAACAAGCTCTATCATTAAAGATGCAGAAGCTACTATATCTTTAACCCTTTAAACGAATAATTAGAATTATTGTGTGGTTGTTAACAGCAATTAGTATGCTATTTATGACAGCAAAGATAAAATATTTTACCTGCTTGATAATATTTGTATCATTGAAGAGAATATACTACAATCAAATAATAAAGTTATAGAATACAGAGCACATAGTTGCAACAATAAGATGAATACATATCTCAATTTAATTATAAAATCTAACCAATGTGTGGTAACTTATTAAATTATTAGAAGAGTAAAATTTCCCATTAACAGTTATTCAAATTTATTCTTACCAAAATTTGGTCTACACTTTCAGCATGTTGTCTTAAAAAATCCCAATCTATTTACCTTGGCTGGTGAGTCTAAGGGATGTAGTCTCCAAAGGGTTGCATGGTACTGTTAGAAAAACTGTGGTCTTTATTAGCACAAACTTACCTCTTCTGTTATTTCTTTCTTTAAATATATGAATAAAATCTCTTCATGACATAACAAAATATATGATACAAATATAACACAATACAATCTTAACAAAATTTTACATAAGAAGTATATTAAAAATTTCAAAATAAAAAAATTAATTGCAGAACATTTATTAATGGTATCTTTGTCGCAAATGTTATTCAAAAAGAATCCTACCTGATGAGTCAAAGTTCACCTCATTGCCAGAACTTGGGCCAATATCAATGGACACAATTGGTAAGAGCTTCCGAAAGTCCCATAGTTTTACAACCCCACAGGCATCACAGGATGCTATCATATGACCCTTCAAAATACAAAATAACATAAAAAATGAACATATGTATATAAATACACATATTACACATATGTAAAAAAATATATATATATTAACTCACTGGCAAAAGGTAAGATTTATAATTTCATTAAATCTGCCAAAACACAGTGCTGGAAACTAAAAAAAATAGTCATTATATCTTTATGGTTGACATAAAATTATTATAAAAAGATACTTTTTTTTTTTTTAAAGAAAGTTGGAGTTACAGCAAGCAAGAAAGAGATCTTCCATCTTCTGGTTCATTCCCCAAATGACTACAATGACCAGGGCTGGAGCTTCCAAATCCAGGAGCCAGGAGCTTCTTCTGGGTCTTCCCTGTGAATGTAGGGGCCCAAGCACTTGGGCCATTCTCCACTGCTTTTCCATTTGCATTAGTAGGGAGCTGGCTGGGAAGTGGAGCAGCAGGGACTCAAATGTGTGCCCATAGGGGATACTGGCACTGTAGATGGCGGCCTAGTCCACTACACCACAGAATCAACTCCCCAAAAATATTTTTTCTAAGATTTATTTATTTATTTGAAAGGCAGAGTTACAGGGAGGGAGGGAGAAAGGGAGAGAGGGAGAGAGAGATTGAGAATCCCCTGGTTCACTCCCCAAATGGCCGCAATGGCTGGAGCTGGACCAATCTGAAGCCAGGAGCTAGGAGCTTCTTCCAGGTCTCCCTCATGGGTGCAGAGACCCAAGCACTTGGGCCATCCTCCACTGCTTTTCCAAATAGATTATCAGGGTGCTGGATAGGAAGTGGAGCAGTACGGACTTCAACAGGTGCCAATATGGGATGATCATGCTGTAGATGGCAGCTTAACCTGCTATGTGCCACAGCACCAGCCCCATAACAATATTCTTAATATTTTATATCATATACTAAATTTTAGAAGATCATTATAGTAACACATTTTGACTATTTTAATTACATAAGATACAAAAAATGTAGACATACAACTTCATGTAATTTGCCTATATATACACCTATATCATGAATATATTTTACTAATAAAAACTGTGTAAATGAGCAAAATCAACAAAAATACATCTCACTATATATGCTCAGGTAGCATTGACAATTCATGCATCAGACAGATTGAAAAGGTAAAACAAAGGCAGGAAGACAAATGGACACCATATGAAGATTTTGACATAGAAAACAGACCAATTGAGATCAGGCAAAACCGACCAGAACAAAGCGGTGACTATTGTGATCCATTAGACAAAATTCTCAGTAACAATATTTGGGCCTGTTTGGATAATTTGTAGTGGATGAAGGAAGAAGATAATTTGACAAAGCCGACATCTTCATGCAGTGGGTTAAGCCCTCACTTGCTACACCATCATCCCATATCAGAGTGCTGCTTCAAGTCTCGCCTGCTCCACTTCATATACAGCTCCCTGCTGGTGAGCCAGGGAAGGTGTGAGAAGATGGTCTAAATATTTGCCTCCTACCACTCATGTGGAAAACCCAGTTGGAGTTCTAGGCTGATGCAAGATGTCTCCCTCCCTCTACCTCTCAATCTCTCTTTCAAATACATACACACATAAACCCTTTTTAGAAAGGGTCTTGGTGGAAAACAGAAGGAAGGGTGAAAAGATTCAGGTTTTCTAGAGAGAGGAGGGTATTGCCCAGTACAGTAGCAGCAGCCTGGATTCAGCAGGTGAGAGATCAAGGTCTGTCTCTGCTGCTTCCTCCTGGCATCTTGGGAAACGGCCACTGAGCACCAACTTCACATCAGGAACTAGATACACAGTGATGAATGAAAGAAGTTGCTGCTCTCCTACAACTCATAATCTACATTCACTGCCATCATTCTGTCATTTAGTTTGTACCCTGACAAACTGAATGAGTGCCGACCATAACAGAACCACCAAAAATGCTTTTAAGTCTATACACTGTTTCCAAGTGATATGCAGTTTCCCTTCCAGTTCCAGCTTAATGTTCTTAATGTCAAGTCAAAGACCATCTTCTCTTTTTCTTCCTAAGTTTTCTAAAATGGAAATGGTGGTAACTACTATTGTGCAATTTTCCTTATCTTTGTGAACATGTTTACACATTTTTTCTCACTTAGTTTTATCCTTTCTATAAAGAAGTGTATCTTAACAGTTCAAGTGGACTCTACCTTCACCTACACAAAACAATAATGTAAATTATGCCATTAGTTTTTAAAATTCTGTAACTGTTGTTACTGGCAAAGAAATAAAACAGTCTTATCTCTAATCTAATAAATGAGATGCTTCATATTTTTTATGACTTAAAAGGAACATGAAGAACTTGGAATGTTCTCAAATATGTAAACATGAATTGGAAGAATTGTGAGGAATCAATGACTTTGTTTTCAAAAAAAGGAAAAAAAATAGTTCTTAGTATCAGCAAGGAATATTAATGCTAGAAATTAGAAAGAACTCTTTCCAAATACAAGGGTTTTCAATCATCTCTCTGAAGTCAAAATGAAACCTTTTTTTGAGAGCAGATAAATTTTAATCAGAATTTAATTTCGATGCACCTCTTGCCAAAGGTGTCTCGAGTCTGAATTAGACTATTTTAAAGTATACTTTATTTCACTGAATGCTAAATTTGAGGGGCTACACTAATATACAATATTTTCATCATGTTTTATTTGGTGAAATGAATATTTAAATTTTAAACAGATTTAAATACTTTTTATTTATTTGAATGAGTGGCAGAGAAAGATGAGGGAAAGAGAAGAAGAGAAGGGGACAGAGAGAGAAAGAGAGAGAGAAAGAGAGAGAATATTTTTCATTCACTTCTTTACACATATCATTTAGCCAGATTTTCTACTGTCTGTGTAATTTACAATCATGACAAAGTATACATTATGGTAAAACTGAATACCTATTAAGTGATAAAAATGACTTTGTGTGTATATTTGATAACTGAAAAAGACTTGGTAATGAAAAAACAATTTACTTATTTTCCAGTTAACAGGTGAAGAAGATGAACAATGTGTCTATGGATCCTACCTAAAAAATTTTATTTGTCTAAATTCTTCCATATAGGTTTTGGTATAAATATTAATTCTAATCCTGATTGTCCTGAATCATGTATGTGAAAGGAAGTAAGAGAAGATACTGAGAATCAAGAACCCCAAATGTGGAATATTCTCCAGGCCCTGTGTTCTTCCTCTTTCCATTTAGGCAAAATGGAAAGGTGCCTGCTGACCTTCTTGTTTCATAAAAGGGAACAAGCTGACTGCACTGCCGTTTATCTGCACAGAGGTCCCAAAGCTAGAAGAAGAAAGACAGGTGGAATTGTGATCTTAAAAAGAGTGAGGGCCCGGAGCATCTCTGCAACACAATTTGGTTATGTCATTAGTAGCAGCCTTGCTACTGAGAAAGGGAACACACTGCAAGTGTCTGCACTGAGCCTCGAATAGGCTCACATTCAGATCTGTGGTTGTTTCTGTAATACTGACTCTCCAGCACCAAGCACGTTGCCTATTCTATACTAGACATTCGATCTCTGAATAACCAAATGAGTGAATACAGTGACAGCAGAGAGTAAATGCTGATAACTACATGTGATCTTTGTTCAGAAAACAATTTTAGCACAAAACTGAGTTATGCAAATTTATCAAAGTAGACAAAATGCACAGTTAAGATGAAAATTCATAGTCACCACTCATAACTGCCCTTGTTAAGTCTCTCCAGCACCAACTTAACGATTTATAATGGGAAAGGCCATATAGACTTGAAGTTATTTTATCTTAAAGTAGAGAATTTAATATCAAACAAGCTAGTTTTATCTCACTTGCTGAAAATACACTGGAGAAAAACCTAGAAAAACGCATCAAGGATCACAAAAGTATTCATACTTTGGGAACTTTTAATGTTTCTTCTGAAATACATCACAGATTTTAAAGTTATGAAAAAAATTGATATGACACTATTTAGAAATAAAAAATACAAATATGTGAAATTGTTTGTAATAACCTAATATGGAAAAATAAATCTTGTGCTGTTGTAGATTTGGAAAACTACTAGAGGCACCATTTGTACAAAATTAATACAAACACTTACAGGGAAACAAGCAGACTGCTCTCTATCAGTACAGAGGTTTCAAGCATATTTACATATTGTAAAAAAAGAAAAAAATGAAATGCTAATGAGGTCATTTATAGTTCAGGTGATTAAGAACTACTTTCATAAACTAACAGTATTCCTTAGTATAACCATATATTATGAATGTTGAAGCAGAATTTATAAACTTGGGCATTAACATAAATTTAGAGTTGTCTACTTTTTAGGTAAATTAAGAAAAGTCAAATAGTGTTACAATTTTTACTACATGAGGAGTCTTTATATTGTAGAATATACTTCAAGAAAGAGAGAAGGCATTAATTTATCATGGAAAATACAGGCACAGTTTGATTGTACTTACACCTTTATCCTGCTGAGTCAGAGACCAAGTTTCTTGATTCAACTCACTAGATTTTTTCCAACTTTTTTATAAGCATCAACTTAAAGAACATCAAATAAAAATATTTTAAGTCTATGACATTGCTTCCTTTCTGCAAATATTCTTCAAGGATGAAGAACAGGATGTACACGAGAATATTTCAAAAAGTTCAGTGGGATTCAGAGTTTATTTTATGCAAAAAAAAATTTTTATCCATGACTATAAAGGGTACTCAAAAAGTTTAAGGAAATATTCTTGCATTGAAATAAGCTTACCTTTTAATTCCATTTTCATGAATATTCCCAAGTACTTCATGTGATATTCTTTTCTCACATTTATACATAATAGAAAAGTTAAATGAATGATTACATGGCCACTATGTACACATTAGAAAACATAAAATCTGTCAGTGCAGATACTTTGCTTTGATTAGCAGTGCATTCTTATGACCTAAAGTAATATATAGTGATTTTCAATAAACAATTTTAGAATAAGTGATTATACTTTTGATGAATAATTATGGATCCATAAAAATTATAACTAAAGAATAATCAAATTCCTC